CCCTCTGGACAACAGTTTTGGTAACCCGCACCCCTCCAACTTCCAAACTACGAATTCTTGCTTTTAATCACACCACACATTGCCCTAACATGACTTCCACTGCCCCCCTTCCCTCCTGCAACATTCATCGCCCAGTTTTCACACCCATAAAAGAGCGTGGTAAACAAAAACTTCATACTTTCCCCCTCTTTCCTCCAGGACAAAGTTTTTTCTCCACAACCCCAAGTGCCACCACTCTTTTTCCCCTCTAAATTTCTATATTCCCCATCTTCATAGACCCATTCGGCATCCACCCCCAAAATATCTAATACATTCACCTCCTATACCCCTCCCTCCAACTATATCAACTTTCATCACCTAATCTTTTTTTTATCCTCAAACCCTTTCCCCCTTTTCCTGTATTCACCTTTTTTTTCTTCTTTTGCACACCCTACCCAATTCATCCCCCAAATCTCTGCAACTTCTTTTCAAATTTCCCCCCAAAGAGCCAGTGTATCAGAAAAGAGCAGCTGTGACAACTCACACTTTGTGGTGATTCTTTTCTTTTAACTAAAACGCCCCCTTTCAAGACCCTCGCATTTCTTCTCTTACAACCCATCTTAATATATTAAACAACCACGGTGACATCACACACCCTTTTTAAGGGCCTATTTTTTATGGAAAAAATTTTCCCCTTTCCTACATACTCAATTTGACCCTCACTATCCTCAAAAAACTTTTCCCCTGTTTTCAGAAACCCACCCCTACCCCATACACTTTGCAACATCGCCAATTCCCCCCCATCCACCCTGCATACCCTTTTCCAAACCCATGAACCCACAAGACCTCTTTACCTTTATCTAATACTTTTCACTTAGTTTCACTGTAAACACCGGGTCCCCACCCCCCACCTTTCCTAAAGCCTCCTTGTTCATCTGCTACCCTATTCTCCTCTTACTCTTAATTTTTTTACTTCCCTTTTACCTCCCCGCCAACCCCCTTTTTTTGAAAAATTTTTATTTTGTTTTAAAAAGGAAAATATGAAATTCCTCCCAATCCCTGGGTATTCCCCTCTTCCATACATTAAAAATAATTGCCCAACCACTCCAAAACTAATCCCCCCCGGGTTTTAACTTTCTATCTTATCCCACAACCCCCGGCTCCCTTTACCCCCTTTCTTTTTACCTAGCCTCACGAACTTCCCCAACCACAACTGGCTCTTCCCCCATCCTAAAAGATTTATTCCCCCCTTCCCCCTATACCGAAATCCAGCTTCCCATCTTTAAAACATTTAAAAATTTCCCAAAATATTCCTCCACCCCCAACTCTAATTTTCCCTTTAATAACTCCCCTTTCCCCATTTTTTAACTGAAAAACCATTTTTTCCCTTAGGCTTTCTTAACTTTTTTAACTCCCCCAAAAACTTTTTCTTATTTTCAACAAAATTTGTGATAAATCTCCCCCACTCTCTCATTTGCTCTTTTTTAAAATTTGCTTCCCCAAATTCTTAACCTCTCTTTTTTTCTCCATATACTCTTCCCCCTTGCTCATTCTACTTTGTAAAAACTTCCTAGCAACTTTTTCTCCTTACTACCTCTTTACATCAATTCCACCAATCCCCTCTTCCCCCCGCACCCACTTTTCCCGTAACCACAAACTTCTCTGAACCTCAACACACATTTTTAAACCACCCCATACCCCCTTTGCCCCCTTGCCCATGCTCTCATTAGCCCCTCATCCTCCAATAGTGTTTATATCTTTCCCTAACTGCCCCCTCTTTTAGTTTATAAACCTTCACCTCTCTCTTCCCTGATGCTTTTTACTCCTTTACCCCTCTACCTTTTTCTCTCAGTGAGCTACAACAGAAATGATCTGAAAATCTGTGGCCCCTATAAACGTACATTTCCCAAGTCTACCAACAGTCTTTTATCTACCAAACTAACCCCAAAAAACACGTCTTTTGCCCCACATCATATCTTTAACTTATTTTTCCTCTTTTTTTTAAAATATGTATTTCCTTAATAAACCCCTTTTTATACAAAGTTTTAAACAAAGGGCTCCCATTATCATTTTTCACCTGGCCCCCAAAATTTCCTACACACCCCTCAAAAATTTTTCCTACTTTTTGCATTCAGGTCCCCCACCACAATTACTCTCTCACTTGGTTCAAAAGGGTCCTATACATTCACTTAAACTCCCAAAATCTCTTCTCCTCCTCTGCATTTCCCCCTTCTCCAGGTGCAAACCTTATTTTGACCCACTTCTCGCATCCCAAACCTTTTCTTTAACCACATAATTCTTGAATTTACACATTCAATTCTCTTTTTTCCTTCCCTAATGATCATTTAACATTTCTGTACCCCCCTTTCCTTTGCTCAAAATCCTCAGAACTCCAGTTTAATCCCATTTATTCCCCCACTGAAACTCTCCTACCCCCCCTTTAGCTTTGTTTCCTTAGGGCCAGGATATCCAACTTTTTTATTTTTAACATCACAATCATCGTTTTTCTCCGACTACTCCCGCACTTTTAAAACATCCCAGTTTATAAAGTTTTTCTTTTTTCTCTTTTTAGTAAATGTTACAGGGGAAGGGGGTTTCTAGCCCATTGCTCCCCGGGATTTTTTCCCTCATCGACACGCAGCTTATGGAGGAAAGATTTTTTCCACTTCCCCCTGGACAAAAGAAAAAATAAAGAAAACAAGAGCTATTTAGAAAAAAGAGAAAAAACCCAGATGTATGTAATATTTTATCATGTGGTGTCTGTGAAAGGGGACCAAAGTGTAAATAGGGGTACAAGATATCCCTGTTATCTAGCGTGTTTATGAGACAGAAAAAGAAACCAGCAATCCTACCATCATGCAAAACAGTTACAGGTTTCTGTTTCACAGTCATCTGGCAGGACGGTAGTACTTCCCTGGGTGGTTGCTGTCTACCAACCTACTACCTATACTATATAATACAACCATAAATACTATAATACAACACATCGATTCCAGGTTGAGGGACTGATTACCTCAAACTTCTCCTCTCCTTACCCATTTCTACTTTGTATTGGACTGATGAAGCCACTGTGTGGCGAAACGTTTCTTCAATAAAGATTCCCATGTGTTGCCTAAATGTCTCAATTCTTCAATGTGATTGTTTCAGTTATGATGTGGGAGTACATAGGTGAGTAAATGTGTACTGAGTATTTAGCATTTAGTCTAGGGTGATTAAGTGGCTTTTGAGAAGAGTCTTAAGTTGATTTTCAGACTGGGTTACTTTAATATCTTCTGGTAATGAATTCCATATTTTGGGGCCCTTTATGTGCATAGAGTTTTTACACAGTGTGATATGGACACGAGGTATATCAAAAAGAGATCTGTGCCTTGTGTTGTGGTCATGTGTCCTGTTTAGGTTGGTGAGGAAAAGTTTGAGTGGGGGTTATATTTGCGTGATTGTTCTGTGTATGTAGTAGGCAAAATGAATAAGTATGGATGTTCTTAAGGTAAGCAGATTCAGACTTTTGAAAATTGGTGGAGTATGCTGGCAGGAGTGGGAATTTGTTATCATTCTTACTGCTGCCTTTTGCTGGGTTATTAGGGTTTTAGGTGATTGGATGTTGTTGATCCCCATGCAAAAAATTCCATATGTAAGATAAGGGTATATAGTGAATGGTACAGTGCCAGGAAAGCTGATTGTGGAATGTATTACCTTATCTTTGATAGTATGCCTACAGTCTTGGAGATTTCCTTGGTGTTTTTGTTGTATGTGTGTCCGGAACTTAAGGCTACTGTCAAGGTGGATACCTAGAATTTTCCCTCGTGAGTCTTGTGACTGATGATCCATTTAGCGTAATGTTAATTGGATCATTTGCAGCTTTGTTTCCAAACTGAATAAAATAGGTTTTATCAGTGTTCAGGGTAAGTTTGTTAGTCATCATCCAGGCAGATATTTTCTGTAATTCAGCATTGACTGTGTTTGCTAATATGACTGCGTTGGGTGGGAAAATACATATGTAGTGTCATCTGCAAATAATAGGGTTTGAGTAGCTGTGATGCATTCAGTAGATCATTGATGTAGATGGAGAAAGAGGAGTGGTCCAAGGATGCTTCCTTGTGGGGACTCCTACTGTGTTTGGTTTGGGGAGGGAGGAGTTTGGATCTTTTTGGCATACACATATTGAGTTCTGTTACTAAGGTATGACTTTAGGTAGTTGTGGGAGTGGCCTCTGATACCATAGTGCATTAATTTGGAGTACAGTAGTTCATGGTCGACTGTATCGAAAGCTTTAACGTAAATCAATGAAAATGCCCAGCGGGGCTTCTTCTTTTTTAAGTGAGGTATATATTAGTTTTTAGCGTGTGTATGATAGCATCATTTGGCTTTTATTATTCCTGAATCCAAACTGACAAGGTTTAATATGTTGTGTGAAATGAGGAGAATAGATCTGTCATGAATTAATTTTTTTAAAGATTTTAAGAGAGCAGTGGTAAGTTAGATATTGGTCTATAGTTATTCAATTTAGCTTGGCACCTCCTTTATGGATCGGAGTGACCCTCGCTATTTTGAGGATTGTTGGGAAGGTAGATGATTCAATGGATTTGTTTAAAGAGCATTGCAATAATTGGTGACAAACTTGAGAAGCTTTTTGTACATAAAAGCAGGGAAGTTGTTTATGTCTCCTGCCTTGTTTTTAAGGGTGTTTATGATGAGCATAACTTCATGGGGTTGGTTGGAGCTAGGAATAGCATATTTGGGTAGGTTCCTATGAGGTACCTGATGGACAGCCATTTGTGCTTGGTATTTTGTTTGCTAGATTTTTTCCTATGGTGGAGAAGAAAAAATTAAGTTTGTTTGCTGTTTCGGTTGGAGTGAGTAGGGGTTCATCTGATTTTGTTAGTTTGATTGCTTTGTTTTTGGATAACTTTTTAGTTCCAAGAATTTCAGATAGAGTTTTCCAGGTTTTTTTCATATCACCTTTGATGTTATGTAATCTATTTTCATAATACAATACTTGAAATATATTTTCTTTGTTTCAGACACTGGCAAGAGTTGGGATATTTAATAATTTATGTGACTGGTCGTCCTGATATGCAGCAGCAGAAAGTTGTCTCATGGCTTGCCCAGCATAACTTCCCTCATGGTCTTGTGTCCTTTGCTGATGGACTTTCTAGGGATCCATTAGGTCATAAGGCAGATTATTTACGAGCTCTGATACAAGTTAGTAATGCGATGTTTGCTCCCGTTATACATTGTCTTGTGTATTGAGCAGTTAAAATTTTCACACTTTGATGTTATCGTTATAATATGATTCTTCATATTATTCGTATTAAGCTAATTAGCTTATAATGTGATT